TGTAGCAAAGTACAATTCATGTAATTGTAGATGACCCTTCTTGAATTTTGACCTTATATTTGTCCAAATATGCCACATGCAAGAGTAGTGTGGCATGCCCGGATAGACAATTGATGTTGCCTTCAGTATACTCTCATTCCTATCTGAAACAACACACATTGAAGGTCTTTCACCATATGCCTGCTTGAATTGCTCAAAGAACCACTTCCAAGATGCGTCGTTTTCAGAATCAACCACAGCATATGGCAAGGGCAATATTGTACCTACATTATTAATTCATAAAATATTAATTGGCAGCTTTGAAAATGTATATAAAAATATAAATGCATAACAACTACAATATATCTTCATAATATAGACAATTTATCTACATTTCATGTAATAGCTACAAAATTACTACAATGTATCTACATTTTATAGACTGCCAACAAAATAACTACAAAATTTTTACACTTTTTAGCTGCTGCATCCATGGTGCTTGCCGTCAGCATAATCCCCCTGTAGGCTGACTTTAAGAATGTCCCATCAATCACTACTACCGGCCTACAATGTTGCCAACCACTTATTGATGTACAAAGAGCAACAAATGCGTATAAGAAGCATTCATCTGCCGTCTTCTTCAATTTAACAACCGAACCAGGATAAGTCTCCTCAAGAATATAAAAATATTTGGGTAATTTGCTGTAGGAGTCAGTCGGATTCCCTCTCAAAAACTGTAAAGCCTTTTCCTTTACTCTCCATGCTTGCATGTAGCTTAGGTTCACTCCGTGTTCGGATAACATGTCAGTTTGTATGTCCTTTGGTGTGTAAACAGTCATAGGATCACAATACTTTCGAATGACCATGCTACCAACTACAGCTGTAGTACGTTTGCGCTGTATGAATGTTTCGTCCATTAAGGAGCATGTGTGTTGTCGGTTGAAACTCCTTATTTTGAACATTGCGGAATCATTAATTGACGTTGCCTTGAAGTGCCATTTACAGTTCACCAACGCATACAAGCCAGTAGCTACAAAAAAAATGCAATATTTAATACAGATTATAAATGTAGATGCAACAAAAGGACTGTTTTAACATAGAGTAACATAAACTACAATTTAACTACAATGTAACTACAGTTTATCTACAATGTTTAAAAAATACATAACTTGAGTAAAACACTGCATTTAATGATCTTTTCTCCAAACCTTCTATGACTAGATCTTTTAACTCTAAGCTGGAACTTGTGCATCACAGAAAAGTGCTTCATTGCAGCAGCTACAGTTTGCTTGTCCTGATACACTTGTCCTTCTTCAATAACAGTTTGCGATTCTTTTATTATTTCACTTTGATATTCCTCTATAGCTGGAGAGGATGGCATATCAAGTAACTTTAGGGATCCAGACGAACCTGCATCAAAATAAAGATAAACAATGTCATTATAATTTTCTAGAATCTTTGTAGATATAGCGAAAATTTTGTAGTCATCCATTTTAGGATGTCAGACATTGTAGTTAAATTGTACTATAACTGTTGCAATTTGTAGAAATTTGTGAAAACATACTGCTTCGTACATAATTAAACTGATTTGTATTTTATTTGACTAGATTTTGTTCTAAACATAGATTGTAGTTTTATTTGAAGACAACATTTTGAAATCAACAATTTCTAATCATAGATTGTAGTTTATTTTGTCGTATAAATGTAGTAACTTTTTTAGATAATTTTGAAAACAACATCAACTTGTCACGACCCAAACCCCGCACTGGTCGTGATGGCGCCTCTTGTGAAGACGAGGCCAGCCAACTAACCCAACTCGTCTTTTCAAAAATAATTTAAACATGAATAACAGTCAAAATGTGACTTAATAAAATTAATTAACGGAATTAAAACCCCACACAACCCAAACCGGGGTGTCACAAGTCACGAGCATCTATCAGAGTATAAATACACCTACAAGACCTAAAATACACAAAGTCGGAATAATGAACCAAAAGAGAGAAAAATGGTGCTGCGAACGCAGACAGTCACCTCGCTACTCCTATAGCTCTACCTCTGATCAGCCAAAACCCGCTACCGGGTGGACAAATACCTGCATCTGCACGCGAGGTGCAGGGAGTAAAGTGAGTACTCCAACTCAGTGAGTAGTAAGGGTAAATAATAACTGAGCAGTAAGAAATCGCGTAAAGCAAACCATAATGCTATATAGGAGTAGTGTAAAACCTTTTGAGAAAAACAGTGAAGCTGTGAAATCTTAAGAAATATCGTAGCTCAGTTTAAAACTTCTTTAAAAATGACTTTTTCAACATTTTGCAAACGAATGCAATTCGAATAGTGCAGATAAGCACAGAAGTCCGCCCCTCGGGCACCACACTCAATTAACAGATAATGTCAAGCAATCCAGTAGATATCACATGAAGTAGCACAAACAACAGGTAACTCAAGCAAATAAGATAAAATAAACACTTAGAACAGTAGTAGTACCGCTGCGGTGTGCAACCCGCTCCACATACCGCTGCGACGTGCAGCCTGATCCGTTTATCGTCGTCGGCGCTCACTGGGGGTGTGCAGACTCCGGGAGGGGCCCCTTACGGCCCAAGCGCAAGGGGAAACTTCCTTGTTGATTCCCTTGCTTGTTCCTATATATACTGTCATTGTTGTGTGGTACTTGAGACTGTGATGCACGAGGTTTCTGCCGTGCGGTCGTTGATACTATGATGCACGAGGTTTCTGCCGTGCGGTCGTTGATACTGTGATGCACGAGCTCTCTGCCGTGCGGTTGTTGTGGAAGGGTTGCACGAGGTCTTTGTTGTGCTATTGTTGCTATTGATGTTTTTGCACATGCGGCGTAATAAGGCGGGATATGTTATATGCTTATATGTTGGTTGCGCATGTGGCGGAATAAGTTGGGAACATTGTGATGCACGTGTGGCGAAATAAGGCGGTGCCTATTATATTATTATTTGCACGCGTGGCGTAATAAGGTGGGCTATGTCGGGGGTTGATTGTAAAGAATTTTGACGGCCTGTGGAGGCATTCCTATTTGTTTAATATTGTGATTGTGGGTTGTTTACCTGTATGAGCTTTACCGCTTGGAAGTGTTGAGGAAATATCGTACGTGCGGCCCGTTCTCCTTTTCATGTGTACTAGTTGGTAGAATTCCTGTTAAAAACACTTGTACAAGTATTCAGGTAGTTGACACTCCTATTATAGTTGAATTCCTCCTGATTTTGCTAAGACTGAGGTACGCCCTCGTTTATCTATTTTTATACGTGAGAGTGGCCCTAGTTAGCCAGTGGGTTGTCAGCATGACCGTGAGATTGATGGGGCACAGGATGCCAAGTGTTAGATTTCAGATGCTGGGTTCTCATGAGTTGTGGTTTGTCCGAAACTTGGTAAAATTGTTGAAAGGGTTGAATAAGACCTTACGTGAACATCATTGTAGGATATGAGTTATTGACTTGTTTTCCCCTTACTGTGTTGTGACCTTAGGATTTGGATTGTGATTCTGTCGTCATTTCGTATCGTCATTTATTATATTCTCGTTGTTACTTGTTGCCCTTTTTCCTTATTGTGAATTGTAGCATTTTTTTGTCATTCATGCAGACTTTACATATTTATATATCGGTTCCATTATTCCTATGATTATACTGTTTATTTGACCGGTAGGTGCCTTGACTATTCCTCGTCAGTACTCCACCGAGGTTAGTCTTGATACTTACTGGGCACCGCCGTGGTGTGCTCATGCTACTCTTCTGCACATTTTTGTTGTGCAGATACAGGTACTCCCGTTCAGTTCTGTCAGCCTGGGAAGGAGGCGTTTCTATAGAGACTTCAAGGTATATCTGCTACGTCCGCAGACCGAGAGTCACTTTCTATCTTCTGTAATGAGTATAG